GTGCACTTTTCAGTCTTTGAGGCACCATAAGGATATTATAAACTTTTGTGTACATTTGTGTCCATAAACCAGGAACTTATCATGGTTTGGAAGACTATTTATTGCTTAGTACATGAGAACCTTCAGTCAGAGAGATAACATAAATTTAACATTGGCAGGGCTTCTTATGTTTTAAAGCTCTTTGCTCCAAAGATACTGAGTTTCTGCTCCTTCACATTATTTGTCTTCCTTCTTAATGAGATAGCATGGTGCAATAGTTTGAGTGTTGGACTAGGACACTGAAACCACTCAGCCAGGGATCTTCACTAGGAGAGCTTTCAGCCTCAGAAGAAAGCAAAGGCAAACTATCTCTGACTAAATCTTGAGATAGTTTTGCCTTTGAGTCACTCTATGTCAGAAATAATGTGAAGATGAATAACAATTTATCAATAACATAAAATGAAGGTAATGTCAAGTCCAAAATGACAATGCTGGAGTTCTGGAAAATCAGCAACAATAGTAAGCAAGATCCCAAATATTTCCTGTAAGTGGACAGAAGAGCTGACATATAATGGTTTCAGTCACACTGGTTTTCCTTCATGCCAACAAACCCAAGATGTCTTGGAGCAGTTTTTTAATGTTTGAAAGTTATGGCTTTTCTTTAATGCCGAGAGATGGGTAAATAGTTTATTTAACAATAACAATTTCTGAATAACATAAAATGAAGGAAATGTCAAGTCCGAAATGACAATGATGGAGTTCTGGAGTTCTCATCAGAAAGGCCCATGGATTTGCTCCGCATTGGGGTGAATCCATGAACTCCTGGTGGGGGGTTCTGAGAGAAGCCACCACTCCATGCCCTTCATCGTCTGCCTTACATTCCTCCCCATTCCATGAGGGGAAGCACCACCTGCCCCCCCCCCCACACACACACTATTGAAGGGAAAGCTCCCATGTTGCCATGGCGGTTGTGTGCTCTGCTTCTCTTCCCTTTTTGTGTGAAGATCTCCGTGCTGAAAAGGGAGGTGAAGCAACATACGACCGGCAAATCCACCCATCTGATGAAGTGGTAAGTGAATGACAAACCTGTCAGTCACAAGGCAGGTTCACATTGCAAGCCAAAATGTAATGTCCATATTTACCCAACTACAATGCACACCTCAATTTTGAAACTGCACATTACAAAATAAAAGATTTGCAGTTCAATATAAGGCACAGGTATAGTGCATCACAAAGTGGGCACCATGAATGAGGCCAGTTGAAAGCCATGAACCTCTGTCATGCCAAGGTTGGCAAATTCATCAGCCTCGTATGGTGCTCAATTGGCTTAATTCATTAGGACTTCAAAACCAAGGAGAAGGTTTTGAAAGACTCATGAATGAGGTGAGTTGGAAACCGTATAGTCCTCAGCCTTGGGGTGGTGGTGGTGGAGAGACCCCAAGGGCCATCTAGGTGGCAGAAAGTATTGCAGAGCTCAGACCCAGAGGGAGGTAGTGAGGGTGATGCTTTCTGACCCATATGTAAGAGAGGCCTGAAGGGTTCACAGCCCCTCTGCACCTAAGTGGCAGGCATGTCTGGGTCACCAGGGGGGTGTTCCTCCTCCTGTTCTGGGTGCCATGGATCCCTGAGGCCACTGCCACCACCAGGAACACTCTCTTCACCCCTGCCTCCTTGTCCTGCCTCTGGGGCTCTGGGTTCCTCCAGGACTTTTCACATAGGTGGGTTTGCATGCATGATTCTAACATATCATCGAATCTATGGTGCACGTAAATTTTGGCAATGTAATTTAGCCCAAAAGGTGTGTAATAGACAGCTTGCGGTCTTCCAGATGTTTTGAACATCAGCTCCTAGGTTTTCTGGCCTGGACAGACAAGCTGGACAGGGCTTCTGGGAGTTGGAGGCTCAAACACCTGGTTGTGCAGGCCTGCTATAGATGTATATATATATCATGTACATGCACTGCATTTGTACACACCCACATAGCCTACACGCGTTTTCCTCTTGACATTACAAAGAAGCACCATGTGAGCACACAATTGGTATGCAGCACCAGATTATGATCTCAATTTATACATACATTTTAAAGTGGTACAGTCCTCAGAATGATTTGAAAGGGACCCATGTCATATATGGAGAAATTATGTATGGTATGTAGTTGGTCTTTGATCCCCTAAGTCCCAGTGGGGATCTCTATCTCAAAGTGCCTAAAGTAACAAGGCTCAAAGAAGATACTTACTGGTGTAGATGAGTCAGTGTTCTGACAATATTTGAAGGCAGTTTCATGTGCTTAACTTTATCATCTTGACGTCACAATAGGATTTTCTAGAAATTGTTCCCACAGAAAAGCATGACATTCCTTGAAAGCTGGCCTGTTCTTTGATCTAGTTCTGCAAGACCCTTCCATTGTAGAGAGCTTAAAACCCCTGATTCTACCTCCGTGAACACGACAGTATCACCCTGAACAGTCGCACAAAAACTAAACATACTTGTAACTACTGTGATGGAACTACAAATAAACTAATTGTAGAATTATATGAAAGAAGGTTTGCATTTTATAGTAAAATAGCCCGCTGTTGTTAGTGCCTACGCCATATGAATGTAATGTGTGATTGTAAAAATTATTTAGAGATACATTTTGTACATGAACCCATAATACCTGAATACTCCCACATTCATAGCATTTTCTTGCACTGTGTATTGATATCTGTTAACATAATCTGTGTACAAATCCTGCATAATTTTTGTTTGCCAGTGTATGCCCCAATTATAATAAAACCATATTTACACAGAACAAGCATGCAGTGAATTCTATTAACAAAATCTTGCTAATAACTAAGAAAGCCCAAACTGTAAACTTCTGGACTTTTATATAAATCTCAACTGAAACACTGATTTATTGGTTACTCCCCACCCCACCGCATGAACACCAGCATCTCTAATTATAGGTTTCCAGTCTCCTAAACAAGACTGTCCTACCTTGGAGGATAATTCAAGAGTAGAATTACAATGAGGAAGTTGACAGATAAATAATCATAAAATAATCACACATTAGGATAATGGGAGTTTCTTCTGTTTGTATTTATGAGATCTTGACTCCCCAACTCCTTCTCATTGCCAAAGGACTACATGCCAGTGAACTTTGGGTTGGCCAAAGGAAAACATTCATTGCTGCTTTTTTCAGTGCAATACACTCTTTGAACAAGGATACATAAAAGCCCAAGTGAGTTATAGATCCTGGCATTGGTTGCAAAGAATGGTTTGTAATTCATCAAGTATGCCACACATAGAGAGGAAACAAAGTTTGACAAGAACTGAAATGTTGAAATGCAGTAAGTACATGTTCTTGGCCCCTGCATCCCTTTTTCTGGGTCTCTTGAAAGAAGATACAACAGTAAGAAATAGGCCTCTTCTACGCTGGTATATATCCCAGGATCTCGTCCCAGATTATCTGATTCAAACTGGAGTATATGAGGGCACATCCAGGCAGCTCTATAAAAGCGGGAGCTCCCACATTTTAAAATGGAGCATCCAGATGATGTCCCACAGAAAAGTGATTGCATTCACAACAAAGCAGGAAAACTCAGCTTTGTAGCAAATTAATTTGATAGTGGGTTTTATCCACGCCTTCTTGAAGATGTGGGTCGAACCCACAATTTCTGCTGTCTGGACTGCTCCTTCAGAAGTTCCAGTCTCATGTTTTTCTGGGCTAAATCAGCACAGAAAACTGCGAGGGCACAAACCCCCTCTCCAAACCCCTTTAAAATCCTTTAAACAAGAAAATTACCTACAGGGCTGACATTTCCCTTCTGCTGGCCCTCTCCTGGCACTAAGGAATGATGCACCAGGACAGGAGGGGGGAATCATTCCCACCCGCCCTTCTTCTGGCACGTCATTCCTAAGCATCAGGAGAGGGCTGGCAGAAGGGAAATGTCATCCCTGTAACTAATTTTCTTTTTTAACGGGTTTTTAAAGGGGTTCGGGGAGGAGTGGGGGTTGTCTCCCTTTTCTCCTGGGAGGTACTGAGGGAACATGTAGACAATGCCCACAGAAAGTGCAGAATTATTTGGTGGTGTGCGGACTACAGTCCAACCCGACCCGGGATTTTTAAGCCTGGGGTGAAAACGGACTTTACCCCTGCCTGGAACCAACCTGAGTTTTCACAGTCAGACTATCTGAGAAAAGAATATTATTTGGGATCAGATCCTGGAATACAGGGGCAGTGTGGAATGGGCCTTAGAAACACTGTATGTAGATAGTTTTGGGAATTAAAAAAACAGGTTTTTCATTCTCAATTTCTTTCTATATTTGAATGAAGTTGCCTTTTTATATATATATATATATTTTACAACTAGACAGTTGTAAAACGTTTCACAGAGGATTGAACAAAGAAGAGCGGCCTTGCTCCAAAGGCCCCCGCCTGCTCCACACCCCTGCCTGCCAGCGGGAGAGCAGGGCAAGCGAGGGTGCCTGGCGCAAGGCCTTGCTCCAAAGGCCCCCGCCTGCTCCGCACCCCTGCCTGCCGGCGGGAGAGCACAGCAGACGAGGGGTGCCCAAGGAGCCACTCGCCCATCCCTCACCTCCTTCTGCCATCAGAAAGAGATGAGGGACAGGCGGATGGCTTCGCGCGCGGGAGTGCCAGTGGCTCAGGGGGTCGGCCGCCATTTTGGAGGGGGCGTGGCCAACCAATGCGGCTTCACGACCCCCAGAAAATGGCCAAACGATCCTCCGAGGGGTCGCGACCCCCAGGTTGAGAACCACTGCTCTAGATACTACTGGATTGCAATTCTCATCAATCCTAACTAGCATAGTCATGAGCTGTTGTAGAGCTGTTGTCCAGCAACATATAGGAGGCCACAGGTTGTGATGACTAATTTGTGGGACAGTCCCTGAATAGATGAACCAAGACATTTTCTTTTCTAAATTCAATACAAGCAGCACTTAGAGTTCTTTAGCTCACAACTTTTTAAAAACTTCTGTCTTTTTTATCATGTGAATATTTAGAAACCATCACCAAGATATGAGGATTTACTACAGTATAGATTTTCATTGAGTTTCATCTGTTTTTTCTTCTGCACTGAAATTCAAAAGTACAGTATGATTGATATATACACATATGCAAGTCCAGAATTTCAGCTGGATATCAGTGCTTTACAGCACAATCCTATGAATCTTAACTGAGAAGTAAGTCTCACTGTACCCAATGGGACTTGCTACTATATAAGTTTGCACAGGATTGCAGCCTTAGTGAACTATATATATAGATAGATATTCAATAGAAAACATAAAACATTGGTACAAATATATAACAGGACATAATCAGTATAAAAAGCTTATATTTATAAAAAATACTTTGTTTTAGGCAACAGTCTTCCCCTGAGGGTATACCACATATGTTGGATTCATAAATATTGCTCTGCGCTGCAGCTCAAAGTTCATCTCTTCCAGGAAGTCGACATTGCTCCAGTCACCTGACGTGCCTGCAGTGGTTGCTTCGGGGTATGTTCCCTAACTTTAGATGATGATGAAGAACAACAGCATCAACAAGGTCTCCGAAAAATCTGGAGAAGATTCCTTCTTCCACATATGGAAGATACAAGAGCAGGACCAATAGGGGAGTAATGATGAATCACATGACCGGGCTTTCAGTGTTTTCTCTCTTGCAACAGTTCATTGACTTTTCTGGACCCAGTCCCAGCTATCTTCATTCTCTTGTCTGTTCTTCTCGGCCTCAATGATTTCTTTATATTTTCTCCGAAAGAAGCCCATCTGAAAAAGAAGATTAGGTTGATGAAGATCTGAAAGTAGACAACATGTGTTACATTTCTGATGCAGAGCTAACCTTAAGAAATGGGGCTATAAAGTGGAGTTCATGACATGCAATTGTTGAGAAGAGCAAACCACAGACCATGACCTACAATGCAGTCTGAGCCCTGACACATGCACAATGGAGGACCTTCTTACAGCGACACCAGAGGCACTCCAAGTGGCCAGTTTCTGGTCAAAGAAAATTTCGTATAATGCCAAGTCTCTAACTTTGTGGTTTTCCTATACATTATAACTGTATTCTTGATCATGGTGCTCCATGCCTAAGTTACCTCAAGATTGGACTACTGTAATGCACTCTACTTGGGGCTGCCCTTGAAGACAGTTCAGAAACTACAGTTGGTACACAGATCGGCTACCAGATTGTTAACTGGAGTAAGTTACAGGGAGTGGTCACCCCCCCCCCCCTGTTTAAACAGCTCCACTGGCTGCCGATAAGTTTCCGGTCCCAATTCAAGGTGCAGGTTATTACCTATAAAGCTCTAAATGGTTCAGATCCTGCCTATCTTTGGGACAGCATCCTCCCCTATGAGCCCAAACGGTCCTTAAGATCTTCCGGGGATGCTCTCCTCTCGCTCCCGCCCCCGTCTCAGGTGTGGTTGGTGGGGACGAGGGAAAGAGCATTCTCAGTGGTGGCCCCTCGTCTCTGGAACTCCCTCTCCAGGGAGATCAGGCTGGCACCCTCCTTATCCACATTCCATAAGAAATTGAAGACATGGATATTGTGTCACGTTTTTGATTGACGATTCCTGATAGATGGCTCCTAGTCATGACCTGAACTCAGTTCCTATATTTGATTACTATATTTTTAAGCGAAGTTGGTTCTGTTATAATTGTTCTATTCCTATTCTACTATTCGTTCTATCCACCTTTTTGACCAACCTATCCTTTAACTCGTTTTGCATATTGATCCCCTCCCTCCAAAAATGAGATTAGAGGAACCTATGTTGTTGCTTATGATGCCTGTTTTTATTGTTTATGATGATGTTGTTTTTATGCTGTTTTATATTTTGCTGTTCTGTTTTTAACTGTATGTTGTCTGGGCATGGCCCCATGTAAGCTGCCCAGAGTTCCTTCGGGGAGATGGAGGCGGGGTAGAAAAATAAAGTTATTATTATCATTATTATTATTATTATTATTATTATTATTATTATTATTATTCTCAATTCGCTTCTGACATGATAAATATAAATGAATATATATATAAATAAATAAATATACGTTCATCTCACAACAGCATGTCCTTGGAGCAAAATGTCAATAACTTAAAAGGAATTAGAATTGGGGTGTGAAAATGCAACTCACAGAATCATAGAATCAAAGAGTTGGAAGAGACCTCATGGGCCATCCAGTCCAACCCCCTGCCAAGAAGCAGGAATATTGCATTCAAATCACCCCTGTCAGATGGCCATCCAGCCTCTGTTTAAAAGCTTCCAAAGAAGGAGCCTCCACCACACTCCGGGGCAGAGAGTTCCACTGCTGAACGGCTCTCACTGTCAGGAAGTTCTTCCTCATGTTCAGATGGAATCTCCTCTCTTGTAGTTTGAAGACATTGTTCTGCGTCCTAGTCTCTCAAGGAAGAGCTCTCCGCAGGCTGGATGACAGCAGAAGGCAGGAAATTTCGATTCAAGCTAAAGTTGGCGGGGGAAAGCTAGGAGACTTTTGCTACTCTTAAACATCCCTCAACTAATATTACTGATGTTTTATTTAAACAGATAAATCACTCTCAAATGATCTCAAATTTCATTTTAGGAAAAATTCAAGGTCAATGTTCAGTTAAAACCATTATACTGGAATTATTACAGAGAACAAAGCGTTTACTCCTTAAAAAAATTCTTTTGCATTAGCAACTTTGGGATGTGTTGTCCACGAGGATGTCACAATGGTATAATCAGAATCTTGGCAAGCAAACATTGAAAATTTCCCCTGCTTGTGCCATTATAAAACAACAAGAATATTACCATCCTGGACAGACTGTGCACATTTCTAATGAGAGATCATATTTATTGCCTCTTAGAAATTTCAACCCTTCTGTTCAGTTCAGAAGTTTTAGAGTTTCTTTTTTTTTTCTTGTTGGACACTTAATATTAATCTATGTTTTTACAAGTCCCCCATCTTGACTAAAATCATTTGGTTGTGTAAACAGTTGGATCTTCTGTTCCTTACTGGGATTTTTATGCCCTACCCATAAACAAAAAAATGATTGTAATAAAGTGGTTTGGGTAACTGTTCAAGAGTAATTGCTTAAATGTAGCAGCATGCCATTGAGATCATTAAGTCAATATTTTGTTCATTGTAATTAAACATTTATGTAACTCCTACTGTTTTAAACCTGTTTTCACCCTCCTGCAGGGTGTGATGTTTTAGTCTATTTCCATCAGTCAGATGTTATTACCCTCCTTCCCAACACGGGAGCTTATTGAATGCTTTGTACATTAGCACTGATCCTGCTAGGCTTCTCTTAAACATGACTTTTTAATTGAAAATCTTTTATCTAATTAAATATCCTACACAACTCTAGAACTTTGGGGCCTATTTAGGCTCCATTTAAACATGATGTTGGCCATACAAGAAAAAGTTATTATCCATATGGGGTTGCATGCCCAAGTCTCTAATTTAAACACATATATGCTGCATTAGACCACCAGCGATGTGTGTCCAGCAAAATGGTTATACAAATGCATTGCCCAACTTACCGGGCAAGGCCTGTTGCGGCGGGGGGCGCTCTCCCGCCGGCCACGTGGGGAGCAGGGGGCTTCTCCTTCCCGGAAGCCCCCTGCGCGGCGGGAAGCTTTCCCACCGCCGGGAAAGCAGGTCAGTCAGCGGCCAGCCCCACCCAGAACCTTTAAGGGGCCAAGGGCCGGCCTCTCCCTTGCCCAGCAGCCTTATATAGGCTGTGCTGGGTCAGGCAGGCCCAGACCTGCATCGAGTTGTCCTCCCACCCACCCTGCACGTTTCTTGTTGTATAGTGTTGCAATTTTTTGGTTATTATCTGTTCGTTACAACTTGTGTTGGCATGTGGCATGGGCCCTGGATCTGGTTTCTGCCCCTCCCCTACTGGCCGGGGAGGGAATATACGGCGGTTCCCAGGGGTACCGTGTTTTATTGCCCGGTATTGTGCTGGTGGGTCCCCTGTTGGTCTCATTACATATCGGTCAGCAGCGGGCTGATTGATCTTGATCCAGAGCCCATGCCTGGCAGCCAACCCCTTGTTCCTGTAAACAATAAATTAAGTTGTGGCCATGTTTTACTCAATGTATGTGTCAGTGTCATTTCTGGTTCTTATGGCGGGAGGAGTGTCGCCCATCCACACGCAAAGCCTTATTTCTTGTTCTGAAATAATAAAACTATAATAAAACTTGATTTATATTCCATCCTATCTCTCCGAGTGGACTCAGCGCGGATTCCAACAAACAAAAAGGCAAACATTCAATGCCTCAATAACAATAAGTACAAGTATAATAACCCCAAATAACACCACATAAAAAGACAACTAAACATGACATCTAGAACTTAGATAAACACACAATCTATCAAAAACATAAGACATCCAAATACTTTACAAAAGCCAATGAAGGTTCAAAGATGTATGCATTGATTGTGTGGCCAATGATGGTAAATGGGATAATATGGTCTAACAAGACCCAAATACATTGATAATTTCCAATCAGCAGTCTGGTAGCAGTCTCTCTTCATTTAATCATCCTTCTCTCCATATGCTAGTGAGCAAAAATAGGTTTCCAGTTGTTTTTTTGAAGGAGAGGAGTGAGGGGGGCAGCTTTATTTCATTAAGCAGAGGGCACAATTCAAAGTGTTGGCTTTAGCCTATAAAGCCCTAAACGGTTTCGGTCCAACTTGCCTATCCAGACGTATCTCTCCTTATGAACCATCTAGGAAATTAAGATCTTCTGGGGAGGCCCTGCTCTCAGTCCCGCCTCCCTCGCAGATGCGTCTAGCGGGGATGAGAGACAGGGCCTTCTCAGCGGTGGCCCCTCGACTGTGGAACGCCCTTCCCAGGGATATAAGATCAACCTCCTCCCTCCTGACTTTTCAAAGAAAGGTGAAAACCTGGCTTTTTGAGCAGGCCTTCCCAAATACGGCATAGTTATAAGGAATCATGGAACTACTTGATAACGCAATGGAATAATGACTTGACATGGAGACGCTCACTATAATCTTTAAAGGCTTTGTATGGTTTTTATATTTTTATATCATATGCTATTGTTTTTAACATAATTTTATGACTGTTTTACTTGTTATAATTTTTGAGGCATCGAATTGCTGCTAATCTGTAAACTGCTCTGAGTCACCTCTGGGCTGAGAGGGGCGGTATAAAAATATGGTAAATAAATAAATAAATAATTCCTGAGTTGGGGGCCGATCACGGAGATGGATCTGTCATTTCCACCAGCCATACTTGACTGCAGTGCCCGAGTTGGTTTGTAGGAGGTAATAGAAAGCTAAAGGTTTCCCTTGACATGAAGTCCAGTTGTGTGCCACTCTGGGATGTGGTGCTCATCTCCATTTCTAAGCAGAAGAGCCGGCATAGTCCGTAGACACCTCCAAGGTCATGTGGCCGGCATGACTGCATGGAGTGCCATTACTTTCCTGCCGGAGTGGTTCCTATTAATCTATGCACATTTTCATATTTTGAAATGCTAGGTTGGCAGAAGCTGGGGCTGACAGAGGAAGCTCACGCCACTCCCTGGATTTGAACCTGCGACCTCTCGGTCAACAAGTTAAGCATATTGTCTGTGCCCTAATTCAGATCGAAAAGTCACAGAAAGTGTCCAAAGAGAGAGGCATTCTCACTTGTGCTTTAGGCATTTGTTTCCCACGGAGATTTTCTCAGCCCCCATTTCAGTGGATTGTGGAGATCTGTATTGAACAGCCATTTTTCAAAGTAATTCAACAAGTACAAAAGAACACAACTACCACATGAC